GGAAGAGGGTCAGAGGGAGAAGCAGACTCCCTGCTGAGCAGGGAGCCCGATGCGGGACTTGATCCCGGGACTCCAGGATCATGACCTGAGCTGAAGGCAGTCGCTTAACCAACTGAGCCACCCAGGTGCCCGAAATAAATAAAGTCTTAAAAAAAAAAAAAAAATATTTCACTGAATAAAAATCTAGTGCTGGTTTGGGCAATAGGACTTGCACAGTTACGTTATTTCTCCCAAATCTGCACTGTCTTGACAGGCTTGCAGCTCTATGTAGTCTTGTGAATCTCAAAGATTTCAGCTTATACTGTTTAATTTTCTCAGGATCTCTTCTATAGGGGTTCCCTACAAATTCATGGGTTTAGCAAATCCTCTCTGCACACAACTTGAAATTTGACCAAGGGGAATGCTCTCTGTGTGTTGGTCTTCAACAACCTTGCGATTAGTTGAGTTTGGGAAATGAGTTTATCGCTCGTGGCCTCAAACCTTGCTCTACGCTGAACAAAATTGAGGCCAATTATAGTTCGTGGGTCCTGTTCACTTCTCTTGACTACCAGTAAGGTACCAGCAATGCCGGGGGAAATGTGACTGGGAGTGGAGTTTTGCTTTTGGGTTGTTCTAGGAAGGGATGGGAGAGGTGATAAAGATTTGTTCATGTATCTGAATCCAAGACAACTCATTTTTATCACCTATTCAACTTAATGTTCTTTGTCCACCTAGAGTTAGTTCCTCATCTAACTGCTAGAGATACAGTTCTCACTTGCAGTGTTAGTCTGGATGCCAAAAAGTCCATGGGAAGGAAGAGACCTATATTCTGCTACAGTCTGTGGGTGCAAGTACCCCACCTGCCCTTTAAGGAAATGTTTCCCTTCTACTTAGGAATCCAATAAAAGAAGGGTTTCTGTTAATACATTCTTCCTGAAAGAGTGCTCGTACCTGTGTGCAAACATGTGCTAACAGAGGGGCCCCTGGCTGGGTCAGTCAGTAGAGCATGTGACTCTTGATCTTGGGAGTTGTAAGTTCGAGCCTCATGTTGGGTGTAGAGATCACTTATATTCTTAAGAAGTGCTAAAAACTTGCTTCGTATACTGAAGGCAGTAGGTCACAGGTGCCAGTCTATCCCGATTCCACCCCAAGATAGTTTTTGCCAGTTCTTGGTGAAATGAAATAAAAAAAACAGCACAGTGAATTTTGCATAATTTAAAAGGCTATATGCCCTCCGTGTGTAAAGATGTTACAGTGGACTGATTAAGAGTGTGGCTCTGGAGACAAGACTACTTGAGTTCAAATCGCTCCACCACCTACTGGCTTGTAACCTTGGGCAACTAATTTATCCTGTCACATCAGATTCCTCATCTATAAAAATAGTGTTAATTACACCCATCTCAGAATAGTTAGGAGGATGACAAAGTGCTTAAAACAATGCGAACACTTGCCTAGTGCTTATAATGCTATTTATTGCACAAACAAAATTGGAAATGACCTAATTGCCCATGAAAGGAGAGTGGTTACATTATATATAATAATGCAATAATGAATGCAGGAGGTAGGAACTGACAGGGAATAACATTCAAGTAAGTGAAAAATGCTCTAGAGAATAATGTGTATGTGTGCATAAACATGCGGAAAGGTGGACCCCTGTTTAACATCGGCTGCTTCAGGAGTGTAAAGGGGAATGTATTTTAATTTTGGGGGGTGGGGGCCCTCAGAAGTTGAGTGGAAAAGTTCACTCCAGCCAGTAGGTCTCGCCCAACCCCTATAAATGATTCTAGCATCTACTCTTCTGACCACAAAACACCTACCAGGACTCCTCTTAAGGAATATTTTTACCTTCAGAAAATTCTGGTTTCAGTGTTTCCCAAACTTTGTCCTCCAAACCACAACCACTGTGAAAAGGATGCTGCGGTCACAAGAGCTCGGGAGGTTGTTGTCTCCCTCGTGGAGACTTACAATGTTCACTAGCAGGTTAAAGGCTCTAAGTTTTGTTTTGAAGAACTGGTTTGATGTTTAACCCAATGTTTTCCAATAGAAACAATGTTCAAGCCACGACCTCTCCCCTGCCTCCCTGACTAGTACTGCGGATGGTGCTTAATTCCAGTATTAATTTTTTTTAAAGATTTTATTTATTTAAGATAGAGAAAGAGCAAGAAAGCTGCAGAGGGAGAGAGAAGCAGACCCCCTGCTGAGCAGGGAGCCCGCCGTGGGGCTCAATCCCAGGATCCCAGGATCATAACCCAAGTCGAAGGCAGACACTTAACCACCTGAGCCACCCAGGTGCCCATTATTCACCTAATTTTTATTACAGTATATTGTTATAATTGT